AGACCGATTTTCTTCTTTGACTGCCCATTGAAAGTGAAATGGGAAGGTGTAGAGGGGGGGATATATATGAGGAGGACGAGTATAGGAGAGTCAGATAAGAGATGTACAGGGATAAATAGACAAGTGTCTAAAAAAAAAAAAAAAAAATTGGAATGGTAACTTTTAATACATTCAAAACTGAAAGAAATATGGACTTGTATTCTTTCTTGCTTATTATTTCAAGATTTGATTCTAAGAATAGAATGTGGCATGTTCAAAAATAAAATGTTTTATTTGGACTATTCTCATATTTATTACATTTCATCTGTTGCAAACTCTGGCCTTCTTCAGGTCGTTGGAATGAACCCTTTATTTCACTGACTGAGGTAGACTGTTTTCTCGTTCCACATACCATGTTTAATGGATGTCAGTTATTTCCTGTTAATTCCCCTCTAAGTTCTCCACTGCCTTAACTGGGTGTTGAACTGACACTCTTAGGCGTTAGATCCAGTGATAGGACCCAGTCTCCCCTTTATGTTTCTTACCGCAGCTGCATGGGATAGCGTGCACACAGTCTTTAGTCATGTTTTTTGCTCTATTGGGGGGTCTGGCTCGGGAGATATCTGCGAAGCGTTGTCAAGGTTTTGAAGGTTGTCCTGATGTTATGTGGACTGCAGATCCTTTGTATTTTCTCTAAGCCCTTCACATAAGGCAGACAGACTGTTGTCGTCGTCGTCGTCCTCCTCTTGTACCGCCTATTCCAGTTTTTGGGGGCTGTTGCTATGTACCCAGGGTAGTTATGTTGTAGGGTACATGCAATGATAACAGCAAAAAATTGCAATATGAGCACTGGCAAAAAAACATACACAGATGTCCTCAAGGACACATGGCACAGTGGATAAAGGTGTTGCGTAGATTCAGTGACAGTGACCCAACTGACATCCATTAAACATGGCACGTAGAACTAGAACCATCTACCCCAGCGAAATAAAGGGTTCAGTTCAACATTCCAACCTGAGTGTACAATGGCTGAAACGTAGTAAATATGGCGACAAAGATGAGGACAATAGTCTGAAATATCTCAGAAATATAGACAGATATTGTTTTATTTGATTCATGGAAGACGACAAAAATGCCAATTGTGCTTTAAGTTGATATAAATTGAACTATTACTTTTCATTAGGGTGTTTTTTTTTTATGCCACAAAAGCTACAAAGAAATAAGAAAACATATTTGCCACCCACTACTCAAAAACAAACTACCCAAGGAATGGTTTGAATACAGAGCTATGTGAGATTTTGCAGATTGGAAAAGAGATTGTCCATTTCTGTATGGTTTAAACTTGAAAAAATTCCTATAATCTATTAAAAAAAAAAAAAAAAAAAAATTTGTTTTACAATTCAAAAGTGTTTCAGCTTTAAATAAGCCACAAATGAAATCAATTACTGCAAATTTTAGATTATTTTTCTCATCAATCCATATAGATTGTAAACAAAAATTAGTCCCTGGTTAAATTAAATTTGAACTTGCCCATCTTTGGGAGCATGTTAGAGTTTAAATCTTACCTAAAGGAATTTTTATAAGTTAAACCCTTATAAATTCCAGTACTTTTACTAGACTGTTCGCAGAAGAGAATCTTTAAACCTTGATTTAAAATTAGCAATTGAAATTCTGTCCCCTTGGTTACCAGTGTATGGTTCTAACACTGGATCAAGTATTAGTGTTATCACGATAAGTGTGATATGGTAAGAGTTGTAGAGTAGGACTAAAAAAAAAAAAAAAGGGTGAAATCTGTTTTGTAGTTACATTGTTTTATGGCATTTTTAAATCCGAACTATTGCACCGTGGTTCTGTACTAGTGGCTTACCTGAAGACCGATTTCTGGCATGGTATTTGCAACACCACTCCCATAACCTTCTGAATCATTGAATATGTCATTGATAACATGTCCTTTGAAGCCTGGTTACATTCAAGGAAGAAGAAAAAGATTAAAAATGGACAAAACTGACCCTTGCTTATCCTTGACAAAAATGTTATCAAAAATCAGCTTTAAGTGCATTTAAGCAGTAAACACCGGAAAATATTTAGTTGTAATTTGAAAATGAAAATCTTTTGAATGCAGGTCATCAGTTGATACTACAAAAAAAATAATAAATAAGCCCAGGACAGAAATGGTAAAAGTTATGTGTTGATATTAACCAAAGTGTAAAAAGACAATAACTAAAATGACCATAATTAGGTCATGGGATGATTTTTAGTTTTGCTACATTGAGCATTATGAATAATCAGAAAATTAGTCTAATAAGCTCCCTGCAAATTCTGTGACGGTAACATTTCTCCTATCTTGCATTTGTTAAATATTTGGGCTTAAAATATTACAATAACAAGTCTAAATTGGAGGCTGTTATTTAAAGAAGTAAGAGTACAAATGAGATGTATTTCCATTTCACTGAAGCAGATGTTAAACACCATGTGAACCTTATCTATTTACCTCTGCTTTTAAGGGGGGGGGGAAGAAAAGGTGTCTTTCTTTTACATTTCCTCACAATCAAAACTGAAACATCCATTATTTATCAGAATGCACATTAACTAAGATACTAATGGAAGAGCAAGCCGAATTATAATATTCCTATTTTAAAGTTTATATCAAAATTGCTTACTTATATAATGTCTTGATATGACTATTATAAGTTTAATTTATGGATTTTTTTTATTTTTATTTTTGAGCCAATTTTAGAAAGTCTTTCTGGAAATCGGTTTTTGATCCTTACTGAATTGTGGTCTGATTTCAAAAGAGATAGACACAAGGACGCTTTTAAGACTGCAATGAATCTTAAATTATAACCATTTATGAAATATGAGCCAATGAACAGGGACAGACAGTTTTAAAATTCATCTGCTCAGCAGTTTCATTTTTTTTTTTTTTTTTTGTCTCTTGACTGCAGTCAAACTTGGCTCCAATCACTCTTGGAAATTTATAGAATGAATGTAACAGGCAGATTAAAATAAGCTTTTAATAAAAATACAGCTGTTTATATTGGATGGTCATCTGGTAAGAGGTGCTGCAACTTTCAACTGTTTAAAAGCAACTTATTTTCAATTTAATTTTTTTTTTTTTTGGCAAGAGAGAGCAATTTCACTTTCTGCCGTTTAGACAACAAATAATTCAAAATTCATTACAGTTATACCAATGTTCAAATTGAATATGAAAATATTTTCAGGCAAGGAGCAGAGGAAATGTGCGGGTCAGGATTACAGTACCTTGCTCTACAAGGGCTTCAAATTAGAAATAATAATTCAGAGACAGTGTTGAAAGAGAAAGTTGGAGAAAGCATTTTTTTTTTTTTTTTTTAATAAATTTAAATGCTGTAAGAAATATAAATAAAGGGAGACATTTTTAGGGCATGTCTTATTTTAAGGGAGAAAAACAGCAAAGAAATAGAAATAATAATAAAAAAAGAAGAAAATGAACTGAGAATTGACAACAGGGCCTCTCCCATGTTGCACAAACCATATTGGAACAAAATTCTGTTGAGCAGCATGACCTCCAAAACTGCATCCATGCCTGGAAAAACATGGGCTGGGGTAGGAGAATGAGCCAGACATTTGATTATGTAACAAACATTTTAGATTTCATAGTTGCTATTTTGCCTTGTTATATTCAAAATAAAAGTTATATTCAAAATAAAATTGGTCACACTGTTGATGAGATAAAAAAAAAAAAAAAAAAAAAAAAAAAATCCCTGTAGGGAAAGAGAAAAGGTAGAAGGTCAGAAGAAAATGTGTTCGGAATGTATTTTGAGGAATGAGAAAGAAAAATGGTGTGAGTGGTGGACAGACGTCAGTAGATGTGCATCATGGAAAACAACTTAAGGCACACCCAATCCACCAAATTAACCTTGGAATTTTGTTTTCCTTATACATGTTTCTAAAGGATTAATGGATTTTTTTATTTTTATTTTTTTTTAAATCTGACATTTTTATTACTTTAAATGTTATTTTTAGTGGTTACCCATATTTGAATAGAGGCTCTGTTTTATTTTAAACAATATTTATTTCATCAACCGGCTTGCACATTCAAGAAGACTTCAAAGAAAATGAGTCTTCTAGCAGGATTCAAACCAGTATCCGCCCTTTGAAGAAAGAAACAACCAGCATGAAGTGAAGTGTTTCACAATGAAGCAAGGTTCTATTTGCAGTTAAAGCATGACAGATCAGACGGTGGTTTCTCCTGCAAAGGGGGACACAGCTTCAAATCCTGCCAGAAGATTCATACTTTAAAAAGTTTTCTTGGGTGTGCAAGCCATTAAATGAAATAAATATTGTTTAAAATAAATGGAGTGTCTTCTCAAATATGAGTAACCACTAAAAATAACATTTGAAATATTATTTATGTTTGATTTGTTTTTTTTGTTTTTTTGAATTTTTCTTTTGTTTAAAAAAAAAACATGCAATTGATTTTGGGGGGGAGGGGGAGAAATAAAAACAAACAAACAATCGAGACTCAACACCACACAATTTCCAAACCCAATGAGTAAAAATGATTTCAGACCCCCACCCCCAGCAGGGAAAAATAAAAATAAAAAGTTTCTTGTAGAAATAGATTCCCAGCAATTATCACCTTTTCTCTGAAAAGAAAAAAGAAAAGAAAAAAAATTTTGATCAGCACAACCAACCAAGAGTGCTTATACGTTCTTTGTTTGTAAAATCCTTATTTAAAAAAGAAAAAAAAAAAATGTAAATGATCACCAGGGGGAGGGGGGAAATGGGTAATCTTTGTTTCTCAGAGTTGTCTCCCTTACCAGCTTTTTTTTTTCGCCCCCCCCCCTCACTTTTTGTGGTCATACGAGTTCCAATTCATTTCTTATTGTGCAAAATTGTTTTTGAAATGAAATTTTTCAAAGACCACCTGGTCATTTCCAATGCTGGTTGCACCCACTCCAGGTAAATAGGGCTGAACTTATTTTGAGGGATCGTGGGTGATGCCGGTTGTGGTTGATGAGGCATTACTAGTCCGAGTGTCAAGAATTCTTAGGCATTAAGATGATCTTTCCATCTTTCACAACAATGTGCCCCATCACATGACCATCTGTGGAAGGGGTGGAACTAGAATTGGATGCACCAAGGTTGGATACAGCTGGGCGAGGCAACTCACCCGTTTGTGTGGGGTCAGCCAAAATTGGTGGAGTCAATATAGGTGGGTTCCGCTCTTGTTGCGGTCGAATAAAAGATTGTGATGCTGGTGCAGATGTTGAAAGAGTGATGGAGGAAGAGGTCTCTGCAGGTGCCGAAGCAGCCACAGGGGTTTGTAGAGCAGGTGCTGTTAGAGCTGGTGCTGTCGATGAAGCTATTGGTGTTGACCTATCAATGGTGCTATAAGGAGGAGGAGGGGAGCATTCCCGTCCAGCCATCACGGTGGAATAAGGAGGTGGAGGCTCAATGTAAGGGGGATATTCACTGCCTGGCACATACTGCACTCCATTGTTGACGTTCACAATAATGTTGCCATACTGTGACTGTTGGTTGTTAGGAAGGAAGGGGTCATACTCAAGTGGCACCACACTTCCAGTGCCAACAGGTGTGCCCCCTGAAGCAGTGGAGGGAGCTGCAGCAATGGCACTGCTTCTGTTGGACAAGTCATTTGGGGCAGCAGCCCTTCGAACAGCTGCACGCTTCATTCGGATGCGAAACACTGCAATGATGAGCACAGAGATAAGGAGAATTACTCCAATCGTACAGCCAATGACCGAATAAACAGCCGTTTGCACAAAGATGGTACCAATTTCAGGATCTGGGTTCTTCGTCACAGCATATGTAGGCTGGAGGACTGGAAAAGAAATAGGGAGGTGTAAAAATAAAAACCAAGAAAAAGAAAAAGGCTGTCAAAAAGAATTAAAACATTTTATTTTATCACAAAAGAAAATTCTAGTCAATGCTAATTTATAAGAATGCAAAAAAAAAAAAAAAAAAAAAAATAATTGATATAGACAAAAGGGATTTTTCTAACCTTGATATTCAACTTTGCAAAAATGTTATAAATTTTGGCAAACATAGATAAATGTACCTGCAATAAGATATAGTGTCAAAAAGATGGTTTTTCCCTATGACATCACTTTTTTTTTTAAACTACCTTCAGCAATGTTTCTTATTTTGAAAAGTAGTGATTTGAAATTGAATAAAACCTAAAAATGATGAAAGTGAATTTATACATTTTTTTTTCTTTAATATTTTTGTTGTAAATTCTCAGCTCTATTATTTATTTACAAGATCCTAAAAACTAATGCAATGCAATATTTATCATTTACCAATTTATAAAGAAATAAACATGAAAAATATTTTTTACTCATAAATTTATAAGCATTTACTAAATTATTAAAATACGTGAAACAACTATAAGGAAATCCTTATTTGCCATTTTATAAATTTCAAATCAATTGGCAATTAGCCAATGTTTTACCAACCATTCCAATAAATAATCTAATAAATAGGGTTTATTTTTGTTGTCAATTCTCAAGAACAAAAAATTAAATAAAATGTATAAATTCCTTTTCATCATGTCAGGTTTTATTCCAATTCTAATCATTGTTTTATAAAACAAACATCAATGAATGAAGGCAGTTATAAAAAAAAAAAAGCAATATCAATGGAAAAATCATCCTTTTGACACGCTGTCTTATTGCGATGTTTAAACTTGAGAGCTATTTGTCGAATATTAAATCTGATCATAGGCCACCAGAACCATTTAGTGTTAATCACCTTGATAAAAAGCACATGTGTTAACACTTGTTTTGCAGACGCTCTCTTGTGTAGTGAATGAGATCCCCACTTTTTTATTTTATTTTAATGCAAGGCTCAAGAGCCCCTCAAGGTAGGGTCAGTTACTAAACAAGATGCACGAGTGATATGAATGTAAGAGTAGGAAGTGAAGATCATAGAGGATAGATAACATTTAACTGCCCCTTAAAGAGGTCAGGCTTACTTCAGGGAAGCATCCACATGGGTGTTTTTGAGGTGGAAAAGCTATTGGAGTAGAACTTCCTCCTTACAAATTGAATGCAGAGGACATGTGGGTGACTTGACTCCACAGACAGAGGGGGGGGGATATAAAATGTCGGGATATCATTAATTATAAAACAGTATTTAATATACAAAATGTTGATAAGATTTCAATCTGACCAAAAGAAGGAATTAAAAAAAATAGGAAATTCTGACACTTGGTCAGATTTCAAGAAGTGAACCAGAAGTTTTCAGCCTGTATGTTATTTTCATGATCTTTCTTTAATGTCATCACTTCTCATATGTACAAAGGGGTACAAAAAGGCTCTTTGCTTGATCCATTTTCCAAAATTTAAGCATTATTTTATCCCTGTAGCCAAAAAGATACTTCTATTATATTGTCAAGTGCCAATGAGCCTTTTGCATATTGTTTCAATTTTATTTTAGATCATTGCTTGAAACGTGTTAATAGAACGTGTCAAATTTTGAAGTATGGAATTCTGGATGGTCACAAAGTTCTGTTGTGGTTGAACAAAACTCCAAAAGAAGTCCTTTGGCGCATGATGCAAAAAATTTGGGTGACAAATGTCCGTCCTGTTTATATGTGAAGAACTGGAGCACCAACTTACAGCACAAAGATTTTGAGATCTAATATACAGTGGAACTTTCACATACACACATGGATAAATAAAAACATGATTGAAGAAAGTGGGGAGTTATTTCCCCTTACATATAGAATTATGTTAAAAACGCAACACCAACTTCAAGAAACACACTCTTACACTTAGACTTAGACTTTTCAAATTAGAAACTAATTTTGAATACATCTCACATTGTGAAAATATTAATAGATTAAGACATTTTTCCACAAGTCCTCCAATTTTTCTAAAGCTATTTGTACACTTTAGGTAATTTATGTCTCTAAATGGCTAACTGGCTGAAACTGGTCAAGTTGTTGATTGATTCGTTTTCTATGGCTTATCAAAACTTTGCAGGTTATTTAAAGCCAAAAAATATTTTTAGATTCTGAGAATATTGGGGGGGGCGGAGGGGAGATAATTTAGTGATACAAGACTTACTAATTAGCATATAGCTGGAGTGGGAGAAGATATGGATTTGTACAAGGATATTTGTGCATAAGATAACAAACCTGACATGAATTGGAACTTGGCTGTTCGGTTAACAATTCCAAGCCATTATCCATTACACCACCCACACATCTAAGCTTACAGCACCTAGAATTCTCAAGCAGTCACTCATCTAGGTACAGACCAGACTAAATGTTGCTCAACTCTGTTTATTGTACAGGGACTGGTATTTGGTCATGTATTGAAGGAAATAGCATTTGGATAGGTTTAAAATACGAACATTAACTTTTATTTCTTTTTCAATTGTCTTTTGAAAAGTGTAGATTCTATTCTGTCAAAGCTGCTAAAATGCTTCTGAATTTAAAAGTTTATGAATTATTTTCAAGAAAATTTACCTTTGTTTGAAAAAGTATTCATGACAAGCAAAACGTAGTCTGGCACATGGATGAACTAAGTATCCAAATAAAATGAATTCCAAACTAGTTAATTTAATAAAGCAAGGACTGGAAACACAAAAAAAAAAAATAAAAATAAAATAAAAAAAAACACAAAATGAACGTTTTCTTTTAATGATTCAGAGAATATTATTCAGCCATCTAGAATTATCATTTCTCTTGAAATTTAACACCTACTGCAAACAACCAAAAAATAAAAATATCCTACCATTTCTTGTGATGTGTGATTCAGTCTCTCCCACACACACATTTGTGTATTTAGGTAGTAAATTCTCTTTAAGAATGTCTGAATAAATTACAGACATTATGTCTACTAAGTTAGCAGTGCGTTGTTATCCATTACCGTAATTTTTCATTATGCTTTTAAATGCAAAATGGTTGTATAAATACTTATACTAATGAACAACATATAGTTTTGTACCACTTGCACTGCTAAAGATGATCTTGAGAGAAGATCAAAAGTATTTGGGAAATGAAAATAAAAAATTTAAACAACTATAGCACATTTCTCTCATACTTTAACATCAATACACAGAAGGTTATTCATGAGTATGAACAAATTTTATTAAAAATTAGCAGACATAATGTCTGTAATTTATGTCTTCAATTTATATATATATATTATATATATATATATATATATATATATATATATATATATATATATATATATATATATATATTAGTTGGCCAAGTTCAACACACCTGATCTGGAATTGCATGATACAGACTGCTGTCACTTGGTGTTAACCTCAGTATCCCATTTTATATTTACATCTGCTTTATCCCTGATATTGAGAACTTTTACCCATAAATCTCACATATCTTAAAAAAAAACTATATAATGCAACCTAAATGAGCAATTTATAGAACAATGTAAAAAATGTCACAAGGAATAAAGTCTGACCATAATTTTGACTTAAGTGTTGACTTCAATATTCACTTTTATATTTACATATGCTCTATCTCTGATATTGAGCACTTTATCACATAAATATAGCACACCTTAAAACTATCTTTATATATATATATATATTATATATATATATATATATATATATATATATATATATAAGCAGTAGAGCCCGGCATTGCCGGGGATATAACAGTAAGAGATAGATAAAGTATCGACCATCATAATGACTGAAAAATAAAATTGACAAAGATTATTATTTAAGGTTGACGGACACGCATGTCGTCTTTTTTTTTTTTTTTTTACGAATTGGTCAAACCCAAACAAAAACATTGTTTTCAATCGTTATGAGTCTACCAATTGAATAGAATTTTATTATAAACAATTGTCTTGTAAATGGAATTTTTAAAGCATTCTGAATGTAAAAATAAAGAAAAAAGTGTGCAAGACAATAAGAAACACTACCTGCCAAAAGAAAAAAAGTGAAGTTTTGTTGAAATCGGTTGAAAAATGTAGGTAGCCTTTCTGTAATCTTTTAGTTTTACAATTTATGATTTTTACTTATTGAATACAGTAAAAAAAAAAAAAAAAAAAAAAAAAAAAATGCATATTTTGCTTGTGGTGATTCATAATTAGAATTCTGATTTGAATATATTTTTTCACTCGTTTTTCTAATACAAAAATTTTAACTTTATTTGGGTTTATTAATTATGATCTAACAAATCTTATTCATTTAGTAGCCTTTCTGTAATAATAATCTTTTTACAATTTATGATTTTTACTTATTGAATACAGTAAAAAATTGGACACCATGTGTATTTAAAGTAGTTTCCGTTCCAAGTATTATTTTTAGTTAGGACTTGTGTATGTTTAGATTTCATTATCTTTCCCTAAAGATAAAGAATTTATCTGATGTTTGTATTTGTACAATCAGTAGAGATCATTAGATTATTGTTTAAGGTTGACGGACACGCATGTCTTAATTACTTTTTTTTTTTTTTTTAGGAATTGGTCAAACCCAAACTCAAACAAAAACATTGTTTTCAATCGTTATCAGTCTCCCGATTGAATAGAATTTTATTATAAACAATTGTCTTGTAAATGGAATTTTTTTAAAGCATTCTGAATGTTAAAAATAAAGAAAAAAATGTGCAAGAGAATAAGAAACACTACCTGAAGTAAAGTTTTGTTTTATCGGCTGAAAAATATAGGAAATCCGATCCCATATTTAAAGGAACCCACATACACACACAAACAACCCAATATGAGTTGTCCCCCTTCCATTTTCACGATGTCTCTTAATTGTGTTTTCAAATTGATGTTGTGCAAAAAAAAAAAAAAAAAAAATTATTTTTTCCATTTTTGGCGCTGTTAG